AATCAAATTTAAAATATGCGCACAACAACGCAAGTGCAAGAACTCCCCATCATAAACTAAACCATTCCAATGCCTTAAGACCCCTTTCAAAGATGCCAAAGCAGTGTCATTAGAAGAAGCATTATCAACTGTGATTGTAAACACTTATCAATGCTCCAAAACAATAAGCATTTCTCAATTTCTTGAGCAATTGTTTCTCCCTTATGATTTTTAACTACACAAAAATTCAAGATTCGCTTTTGATATGTCCAATGCTCATCAATCTAGTGAGCAGTTAAGCTCATATAATTGGCATTTTGATTGGAAGTCCAAGTATCAGTAGTGAGGGAAACACGAATTTGAGATTTTTTAAAATACCTTTTCAATTTTCTAGCTTCTTTAAGGTACAACTTGTAGCAATCTCTAGTAACTGTCGCTCTTGAAGGGACTTGAAAGCGAGGTTCTAACCTTCTCATTATCTCTTTAAAACCATTACCTTCCACAACATTAAAAGGCATTTCATCCAATATCACAAATAGTGCAACAGCTTGCCTGCAATCGAGTTGATTAAATAGATGGTGACTCAAAGTTTTAGATGACCCTAGTTGAGAGCTTGATAACAAAGATTGTACCAACTTGTTTGCTTTGTTTGGATTTTTGGGACATCTTTTTACATGTTTTCTTATTCCATTTGTCCCATGTCTTGTAGAGTCACAACCAATTGTTGTTGGACAATACTTGCACTTGGCACGAGGTTCACCATTAGTTTTGTCCAGTGGCAATCTTCAAAATGCTCCCAAATAGCTGATTTACGTCTCTTTTTTCCACTTTGTCCTTCATTTTTTGACTCATTTCCCTCATTTTCATCTTCAGTATCAGGGGATGAAGCCTTTTCAAGATCTCTTTCTATTGTTTTAACATTTTCTTGAGTAGTGGGTGTGGGGTCCATTTTTCTTCACAATGCAAATTTAGCTAACAACAACAACAACCACCCTTAATTGATTAAACTCACATATTAAAATTCAAATAAGCATGCATAAAAATCAAGGGTGTTAAGTTTCCACAATCAATTTATGACATGTAAATAATTTAGATTATGTAACCAAACACTTAAAAGCCCAATTGTATATGTTCTAAATAATATATAATTGACACACACTTTCTCAATTTACCACATGATAAAATTGCTGTGAACAGAACAGAACAGATAAAAGCAAGCAAAAAGGAACAACTAATAATGTATGTCGAGGAATTGAAAATAAAATCTGGTGCTTGCTTTTATCTGTTATAGATAAAATTGCCATGAAATCACTAAATATGCATTATTACTCAGATCATTACCCAGATCATTGCAAAGGAAATTACTCGGATAAAAGCACCATATATGCATTATTACTTTATGGTGCGTGAAGCCGTGAAATCAATGATTTACTGATATTAAAATTTCAAATAAAATTGCAAAGGAACATAAAGCAAACAACTAACTAGCAACTCAGATCATTGCAAATGCATATTAAAAGGAAGATATAAAACAAAAAAATGAATTTCTGATGGTGAAACGCACTAAATCTGAGCAGTGAGGACGACGAGGAGAACGACGAAGGCAACAGCAAATCTGGGTCAAGGCGAAGCTGAGAATGGAAATGGAAATCTGAGGCAAAGCTAGGCAAAGCAAGTTTCTTCCTTCTTCTAGTCGCGTCGCGTCGAGGCGTGAAGTTGAGGCCAAGATCTGGGTCTTCTTGCAGTTGCTGTTGCTGTTCTGTCGAGGCGTGAGGCAGAGGGCCGAGGGCGGAGGCCTTCAACTAGTCGGAGCCCTGAGGTGATGAGGTCTGTATGGTGTGGCTCACTGGCTCTCCTCGGTCGGCGCAGGCGTGCAGCAGAAGATGGAAAAGGAAAGGGAAAAGTGAAGACTGAAGTTGAACTTGAAAGTTGAAACTGAACGCGTGTTCTGTTCGATCCTCGTGAGCCTGACACTTAAGTCTGCAAGGCATAAGCTGAAACGGTGAAACCGAAAGAAAGCCTGAAAATAATGGTAAAAAAAAATAACATGCCATGTAAACGGGACGGGACGGGACGTCCCGATAATAGACCCGAGTCCCGTCCCGTCCCATTCTTGTTTTGGTCCTGTCCCAAGAAAGTCCCGTCCTGATTTTTTTCGACCCGGGATAGACCCATCCCAATATGATTGGGACGAGTACGGGCCAGTCGGGCTGGGTATAACTTGAGCACCCCTACATGCATGTATGACAATAATGAAAAAGGGAAAAATTATGAATTGAGATATGTGTAGTGAGCATGATTGTGTATGTGGTAGTGATGAGTATGATACACGGTCATTAATGTCAATAAAATTGCATAATGTATATTGATGTGTACATAGCATGATTATTTATAACAGGAGTTCGCTTAGGGAGATGAGTAAATAAAATCCACGTGGTGTTGGTGGCCTTATTGTTGGGATTGGAAGCTAGCCAGACTACCAACTGTTAGAATCAGGAGGTAGTCATTATCTTATGGTTGTAAGGGACTATCTCACTTGTTCTTCGAGGGATTCAAACCTAATTAGTCTCCATCATTCATGAGAAAGCTATATTAGAAGTACGACACCCCATGGTTGTTAGTATTAAGAGAAACTATATATCACAAGTGAGTGCAATAACCTCAATTGTGTAACTCCTCATGAGTGGAAGGCTTGAATAATCTAAGTTTATATATGTAGCCCACTAAATAGTCACCAGTTTTATGTCAGAGGTATTATAAGAGTATAAGAATGACACTGATCATGTATATTATATCCAACCACATAGTTGTTATTATTGTGGTCTAGTTTCATTTGACAGGGCACATGGTTGTTAGTATTGTGACTCCATATGTGTTTTGACGTACATAATTGATGTGAGTTTTAATATGTGATTGTGCTCGACTATATGGTTGTTAATATTGTAGTTATGGCAAGCTTATGAAAAGAACATAAATTTGTGAAAGAATTGTTATTGCCATTTGCATTTGTAATTAATTGACATGTATTTGCATAAGCTAGATTGATCTTAGTTACTGAATGGTTGTACTCACTTTTTATTTAACATTTTACAGGTGCTAGCTCCGGTCAGGATAAAGGGAAAGCACTAAAGGCTTACGAACCTTGTTTTCTAATGTAGGCCTCTTTATTTTAGTTTATATATGTGTAACTAATTTTATAATGCCAATTAGGAAAATTCATATTTTGATATTTCTTGCATCATTTTATTGTTTATGTTGATTGGTTATACTTTGGGCTATAGAATGGTGTGTTGTGATTTTACAAGTCCAGGCAGGGCCCAAAATATTGGCGCGAGTATGACTTTTGATTTTAAGATGATTGCAATTGAAGATTGTGAGACAAAGATGTTAAAATGCTTCCCTCTTTGCTTTTGATGAGTTTGGGGTTGAGGGTCAAATTTATAAAATATGTGATATTTATTGTTATGGTGTGTTATATAGACTGTCTTAAGTCTATCAAGTGTGATCTAGTTATTGGGTTGTGCTTTTGGTACTTGATGTGAATTTTGGACACTCAAGTTTTGGTTTAATGGTGAAAACGTGGTAGTTTGCATTTGGGGGTCCAATTTATGATTGGGTTAGAGTTTGTAAATGAATACCTTTATTTAGAGTTTTGAAAGAGCTTTTTGTGAACACTTAGATTACTTCAATCGGACGTTGGATGAAGATTTGAAATGCGTTAGAAGTTTGGTTAGAAAATCAACCATGATAGCATGTTGTTGTCATAAATTCTATATTTTATGCCGCAGCGTAAAATGTTATAATGTGGTGTAATTCCAAACTTTAATAAGGTGTGCTTACTGCACCTTATGCCACAGCATATCTGCATTATGCCGTGGCATATTGTGCCAAAAATGCTATTTTGGCTCTTTTAATCCTAAATTAATTTGTTACTTTATGTGGTATGATTTTCACACTTTCATATATGTTTATACTTTGTTTTAATTTAGTTTATACTTGATTTCAAAGTTTAAGTATTAAACTTGGGTTCTCAACTCTTAAAAGAGGAGCTAGAATACCGAAAAACAAAAGTGTAGGGACCTAAAACGATGAAAAAAAAGTGTTGGAACTTATAACAAAAAAAAGTAAAATATAGGAATCCAAAGTTATATTTTTCCTATTTTTAAATGAAGTTGTTATTTGATTGTGAAGTGATGAGTATCATAATCTTTGTTTTGAAACCTTTTAAACCATAGTGGATATTTGATTTGTCTTTTTTTTCCCCTATTATGGTTAGTCTTATAATAATTGATTAAAGTCTACAACCATTGTTTGATAATTATATAGTTTAATCCATATTTACTATGGAGGTTTTGGCTAAGTGTCAAGGTAATAAGGAGAACATCACAAACTTAATAATTTATTTGAATTAGTCTCATAATTTCTCAATTTTAGAGTTAATTATGATTTAGTAAGAGCGATTTTATACGATGAGAATACTTGACCCCTTCGGCCCTTCCACAGCAAAACTATAAATTTATAAATTTAAAATATTATTTTGTATTATTGGATGCATTTTCCATCACATTAAGAATGGATGAATATTTTTTTTTTTGGTTACCTTGAAAAGAATGGGTGAATTATGCTACAAGCATTGTGGATATATATATACTTTTATACATGATTGATTGCTCAGTTTTTTTAATTTAAATAAAATGACTAATTCATAAAAGTTGATGTGCATACTTTAATTTTTTTATCGAAAAAATCATGCAATTTTAAAAGAAATAATTTGCGAAGTTTTATTAATCATCAAGATCATTGGTTAAAAAATAAAGGGAGAATGATGTTAAAGTTCCACACAAAAAAATTAATTACTACAAGGTTAATTGATAACTGAATTAAACTGCATTAACAACATTTGCAGTAATTAATTCTTTTGTATGGGATGTAACTGTAATTTTTTTAAAAACAAAAACAACAGAAAATATCAAGATAATTTGTAGCCCGTTTCTTATCGTGGAAACACAATCATCAATGTTCATCATCAATCAAATGGCCAGGCGGGCAGTCCAACGTATTTCATACAAGACCAACATTCGGATTTATCCCCCTCATTCGTTTTTGGTTTGCCCTTCGCCTTAGTCCGTGCTTAGCTTCATTCCACCGCTGCCAGCGCCACCGTCTCCGTCTCCGCGGTCAACCATCTTTTCCTCAGGTTCTCTCCACCATTTCCGCTACTCTTGCGTGTAGTGATTAAATTAATTTTTTTTATTATTAATGGTTGTCGCAATATTGATTTTGGCGCCTCTAAATTTACTTGAGGAAGCCATTAGTATTTAGGAAAGCTTTTTACACCGTTGTGGGACTTGTTATCCCAGGGAGTTTAGTAGTAAGTATATTTGCCTTCATTTAGGGATTAAAAAGCCTGTATTGAACGAATGCACTGGAACTTAGGATGTTAAAGAGCATTTGTCGGCTGTGTACATGTATATTCGATTTCAGAGCGAGGGATATATTTGTGATGTTCTTGTAGTAGTTATAATTCAGTCTTCGCCAGCCATGGTCAGTGATGAAATTACCCCCATTCCCTTAGGGTTTGAAATTGGGAATGCGGAACGTGGAGTTGTTCAAGCACGTGTATTTCTCATTATAATTTCTCCATTCTAACATTCACATTCATTTTACCAAGCATATTTTAGATATCATCTGCCACCTTTCTTGCACAGGTCAACTGAGGTTTTCCCTGCTTCTTGTTTCTAGTCTCTCTGCTATTCTTTATCCTTGCTAGTATCCTAGTGGGCTGGTTCAAGTATTTTAGCACAGTATAACTTTGTCAGTAACAGGAAAACTATGAAACTCATCCCAATAAGTAATCAGCAAAAACGGTCAAAATAACCATCCTCACTGTAAAATATTATTTATGATCTCCGTTTTTTAAAGGTTTTATTACTGTGCTGAATATTGACATCTGCTTTATTGATTATTATGCCTGAATATTGGTATCAGTAACCTAATTTTGCATTTGATGATTAATATGACACATGACTTCAATATTGATGTTTGAATAGTTAATTTTTGTGTAAACTGTACCTACAAACTTAAAGTTATTTATTTATTTATTTTTTGTTGACATGGCATAATTTTAAGCATTGTATCATATTTAAGCACCTTGATTCATTTGGGCATGTGCTTTTCCATCTCTTGCCTAATGTGGTTCAGAGCCATATAATAATATAGATTGATTGTGTTATTACTGAAAAATTCTTAAATACAAAAGGCTAATAGAAATTTGAATAGAAACAATTATTATCTTCTCTATGCTGATTGTATTAGAGTGTGAAATCAAGGCAATTTCCTCACAAGTCGGTAATAGTCATAATTGTAGAAATAGGCCTAGTTATACGATAATATTCAATAGTTATAATTCCGCTAATTATGACTGACTGCTTTTAAATGAAATTATTGATTTAAAAGATATCACATAGATGATGATGCATAATGACATGCACGAGAACTCATGAGAAGAGAGGCTTTTGAAATGTGCTTGATTTTGGAAAAGAAGGTAGGGACTTATAATTTTGTTTGTTTTTAAAGATTTTTTCAGATTGTGGAAGCATGTGACGAACCTATGTATTTGTTGTGTTGATATTTTGTTAATTTTTTCCTTTCATTCTTGGAAGACACATAGGAAGTCATGAACTAGTTAGTGGTCGAATGGAATCTCCTGCTTCCCTGTCACTTCGCTTAGATTATTGCATAGACAATGTAAATTTGTGGTTGATGCCATCATTTTTCTCTCTATACAAGACAGAGTTTGGGGGTCTGGGGTTTGCTTTTAAGACTTTCATGATTTTGAAATGTTCTTGTTTCGCTAATCTTGTCCCTAGTCTATTGGCAGGGTTGTGAAATTGTTCTTGTAATTTGTTTAAATCACTCAAGATGAGCAGATCTGAACGTTTGAAGAAGCACGGAAAAAGTAATAAGCTTTCTGGTGATAAATATGTTGAAGAGGGTACAGAGAGTGCAGCTCGGACCAGGCCATTCAGTGTTGAAGAGATTTTACTTAGAAGAAAAAACAAAGAATTACTTGAAAAAGGAAAAGACTCTGCAAAGGAAGCTTGGAATGCATCACATGGAGCTTCTTCTGAGAATACTACTGATTATTTTGAGTCAGGGAGGGTCTATAAACGTGAAAAAAATCTATCCTCCATTGTGGAAAAGCATGCCTTGGAGGAACCAGAGAAGTTGAGTTCTAGGAAGAAGGTTGAAAGCACTCCTGGAAAGCAATATGATTTAACTGATGGGAAAGACAGTGGAGATTATGATTCAGAAACCAAACTAAGCGCTGATTTAAGTAATATGGGATGGATAAATAAAAATAGTAAAGCTGACAGAGAGATTCATATTAGGAGAAAAAATGATGGAAGGGGGATTGATAATTCCGAGTATGAAGCTGAAAATAAACGAACAAGGGATTCAACTAATAGGGATAAATATTTAGAAATAGATAGGGAAAGATCTCAAAGGAAAGTAAAGAAAATGTATCGTACTGTAGATGATGTAAGTCCTGGGGAATATAAAACTGAAAGGAATCAGAACAAAGATACATATGATCATTGGAAAAGAAAAAAGTGGTCAAGTGATAATTCTCAAAATGCAGTTGAAAAGAAGCATCATTTAGATATAGGAAGCAAGGATAGACATGCGGATGGTAGAGGAAAATATGAAAGAAAATCCAAGAGAAAATATGAAACTGTAGATGAAGAAAAAATCCAAGATAGGAGTATTGCTAGGAAGCAATATCTAGGAAAAAATCCTGACCCTGAGGATCAGGAAAAGAAAGAGAGGCAGGAATCAGTCAAGTCTCATTGTGAAGAATCAAGGACAAAGAGGAGATGGTCAGGAAGGCGAGAGCATGATGAAAGAAGAACATTGTCTCCGGATCTTTCACCTAGGGCTCAAAGACGTACTTATGATGGAGAGCATAAAGATTTGCCTCCACATTCTCTAAAGAACAGTTCTAGAAGATCACATTCTGATGTTGATAGAGGTAGAGTAGCAGCTAATGGTTCAAGAAGTCACTATCATCGACATGGTGGGTCTACAAGTGGGCTTGGTGGCTATTCACCAAGGAAGAGGAAAACTGAGGCTGCTGTCAAGACACCTTCTCCATCGAAGCATTCTTTGGAGAAGAAAAGAGCTGGATGGGATCTTCCCCCTGGGGGGACTGATAATTCTTCAGCCTTTCAATTGTCAAATATTACAATATCATCAGCTGTACATGATGTAGCTGCTGCTGCTTTGGTGGATCCGGTCATTGTGAAGCCTCCTGTGCCTCATCTGAATGATTCATCAATAGGGAAGAATGCTGACATTGATTCTGTCCAACTGACACAAGCTACCCGGCCTATGAGAAGGCTTTATCTAGAGAATCTACCAGCCTCTGCTTCTGAGAAAGCTGTGATCGGGTCTCTTAATAACCTGTTGCTCTCTGCAGGTGCAAACCTCATCCAAGGAGCCCAGCCGTGTATTAGCTGCATTGTGAGTTTAGAGATAGCAAATGTGTAATGTGTAAATTTAATTTTTTCTGCACAATGCAATGGTTTTTAGGTTAACCTTTTATACCTCAACTGCAGTTGCACAAAGATAAGGGTCAAGCACTCGTGGAATTTCTTACAGCTGAGGATGCCTCAGCAGCTCTTTCTTTTGATGGAAGTACACTGTTTGGCTCCACTGTCAAAATTAGACGGCCCAAAGACTTTGTTGAAGTTACCGTAAGGGCAAAATTCTTATTCATCCCTGAATTACTTATTGTTTTTCTTATATGGGTGACTTATTAATTCATGTCCATAAAAATGCATAATTTGAATTAGATGTTTGGATGTTAGAATAAGCTTGAGTTGTCCTGGTATAATGTTGTCTTTGCCCTTTATTTGTGCTGAATTTCAAGTCTGACACTGTTCATGCGCTACATATTTTTTATCTTTGTGTTCAGAAAGGCTATCTTTTGTAAATCCATTCACATTTTATGAATTTCTTAATTTTTTATGTATCCAAATGTGGTGTATTATTTTTGTATGTCAAATCACAGCACATGATAATTAATGTTATATTCTTCATTACTTTGTTCTCTGCTATCAGTAAGGGATATTAGTGTGTGCACAAGCCATTTAACGTTATTTTCATATTGCTGTTGTTTTATGATTTACTGGTTACGATGAACATGATCCCTTTTATGTGATGCCTGTAAAGATTATCTCCCTTTACGAGTACTTGTTACATAAGTCTAATCTCTTGATTGTCATATAAGTGGATTAATGTAATAACTATTTGACATGAATGTTTTGCTTTCCTCTTTGTGGAAATGAAATATTTATGCCTGATTTTACTGTTCTGCATCCACCAAATTTTAATATTTGATCATAAATACTTCAAACATTCAGACAGATAATATATTTTAGATGAAAATTATCTAATCATCTATCTCACTTTTCTGCAATTGTTTTAAATTGATCTCTCTCTCTCTCTCTTTCTCTCTCACACACACGCGCTCATATTTTATTTTAGTTTTGTTTGCTTATTTTGTTTAAATGATTATGAATTTATCATAGAAAAATTTATGAGTTCCACTTATTATGCCAGTGTATTCTTTTACATTCATTAGTAGGCGATATGGAATGAATTCTTGTGGTATTTTGAGAATAAAAGATATGAAATTCATTCATAATCTAGATAGTATGATACAAGAACACTGAGCTAGGAGATAAGGGAATAATGACTAATAAATGCTAATAATTCTAATAAATCCTATAATTCCAAATGATCAGATAAGAATATTTACAATAAATACAATATTTCTACACTCCTTCTCAAGTTGGATCATAGATATTAATCATGTCCAACTTGCCTATGCAACTTTCAAAAGTGGGCTTATGCAACCCCTTAGTTAGAACATCTGCAGCTTGAAGGTTCGTTGGCAAATAGATTAAACATATCATTATGTCTTCCACTTTTTCTCGAATGAAATGCCTATCCACTTCCACATGTTTTGATTTCTCATATTGAACAGGATTTAAGGTCATGCTTATAGCTGGCTTATTGTCACAATAGAGTTTTAATGGTGAGTCCACTTTGACATGTATCTTTTCTAGGATTCGTTTAAGCCATAACTCTTCTATTATTCCTCGAGCCAAGGCTCTTAATTTGGACTTGGCACTACTCTTAGAAACAACTCTTTGCCTTCGACTCTTCCAAGCAACCAAATTCCCCCAAACAAAGGAGCAATAACTAGAGGTTGATCTCCTATCAAAATGAGTTCCTCCCTACTCTGCATCTATGTAGACCTCTATGGTTCTCTATTCTTGTTTTTGGAAGAACAACCCTCTACCAAGAGTGCTTTTTGAATATCTCAAAATCTTGTACACTGCTTCCATATGCTTCTTGTTCGGTTCAATCATGTATTGGCAAGCCACGCTTATTGCAAAGGCAATATCTGGTCTTGTATGGGAAAGGTAAATCAACTTCCCAATAAGTTTATGATATCTTTCTTTATTAGTGGCCTCTTCATTCTCATTGTCTTCTTCACCCTCATCGTTAGATTTGTTGGCTTTGTTTGACTTTTCTTTATTCTTCTTAGGCTTCTTTTTCTTCAGAACCACAATAGGAGTTTCGGCTAGCCTACAACCAAACATACCTGTTTCCTTTAGAAGAGCAAGTATATACTCCCTTCGAGATACATAAATACCTTTCCTTGACCTTGCAACTTCCATCCCAAAAAAGTATTTCAAGGTACCGAGGTCTTTTACCTCGAATTCTTATCCCAGAGCAATCTTTACTCTTGTGATTTCCTCAAGATAGTCTCCTGGAGAATAATGTCATCAACATATATAATAAGGATGCACCTTTTCCTCCTTCAGCTTTAACAAACATTGTATGGTTTGACAATTCTTGCTTATATTCTTCTAGCTTGGGGACTTTTGAGAATCTATCAAACCATGCCCTATGAAATTGCTTTAGGCCATGCAAAGATTTCTTCAACCCACATGCTTGATCACCATTGCCTCTATCAAATCCTAGTGGTAGAGTCATATAAACTAATTTGAGTTCACCATTTAGGAAGGCATTCTTGATGTTAAGTTAATGAAGTGGCCATTCTAGGTTAGCTACCACAGATAATAAGACTTTGATGGTATTTAATTTTGCCATTGGTGCAAAAGTCTTGTAATTTGTAGCTATTGAGCCAAATAATGCTTCTATATTGATCAGAAGATATGTACAGACATGCATGAGGAAGAATGATCAAATCTCCGAGAATAAAGGAGATAGAATCGGAGGAGAATATCAGGGAATGAATCGCATAAATCCCTCTATTTTAACTACCCTCTATCTTTCCTAATAATAACATATTTACAATTAAATAAATACTATTTCTAACTACACTTCCCCTCAAGTTGGATCATGGATGCTAATCATGTCCAATTTGCTAATACAATCATCCAATGTTGGTTTGTGTAATCCCTTGGTGAGTACATCTATAGCTTGGAGTCTAGTTGGTAGATAGATGAGGCACATGACTCTTTCTTCAACTTTTTCCCTAATGAAATGTCTGTCAATTTCCACATGCTTGGACTTTTCATGTTGGATAGGATTTAGCACCATACTTATTGCAGCTTTGTTATCACAATAGAGCTTTAATGGAGGATCAATTCTGACATGTATCTCATCCATGACTTGTTTTACCCATAATACCTCTGAAATGCCTTGAGCCAAAGCCCTTAATTCTGATTCAGTGTTGCTCCTAGAGGCCACACTTTGCTTTTGGCTTTTCCATGAGACTAAATTTCCCCATACAAAAGAACAATATCCTGACGTTGACCTCGTATCCTTGTATGTTCCTCCCCAGTCTGCATCTGTATAAATTTCTATGGATTGTAGGTTTTGTTTTTTGAATAACAACCCTTTTCCAGGTGTTCCTTTCAAGTATCTCAAGATTCTATGCATTACTTCCCTGTGCCTCTCCCTAGGGTCGCACATATATTGACTTGCAATGCTTACTGCAAAAGCTATATTTGGCTGAGTGTGAGAGAGATAGATTAGTTTCCCAACTAACCTTTGGTATCTCTCTTTGTCCATTGACTCATTCTTCTCTTCTTCCTCTTCACAGTCATCTTCTTCAGATTCAACCTCATCTTCCTTCTCTTTCGTTGGGTTCTTCCCCCTTTTTTTTAACCACAATTGGTGTGTCTGTAGGTCTACACCTCAACATACTTGTCTCAGCAAGCAAATCGATGATGTATTTCCTTTGGGACACATGGATCCCTTTCTGTGACCTTGCAACCTCCATACCCATAAAGTACTTCAAATTCCCAAGGTCCTTCACTTCAAATTCCTCTCTAAGAGCCATCTTTATTCTTTTTACTTCCTCCTTGTGATCATCGGTGACAATTATGTCGTCAACATATACTATGAGGATACACCTTTTTCCACTTTCCATCTTCACAAACATAATATGATCAGACAATCCCTGTGTGTACCCTTCTGCTCTAAAAACTTTGGAAAATCTGTCAAACCAAGCCCGGGGTGATTGTTTTAAACCATAAAAAGATTTTTTCAGCTGACACACCTGATTTGTTCTCCCTGCCTCAAAACTTGGGGGTAACGTCATAAAGACTTCTTCCTTAAGATCCCCATTCAAGAAAGCATTTTTAATATCTAGTTGAGGCAAGGGCCAATCCAGATTTACAGCTACAAAAATCAAAATTCTGATTGTATTCAATTTGGCCATGGGAGCAAATGCCTCTTTGTAATCCAAACCATACGTTTGAGTATACCCCCTTGCCACCAAACATGCCTTTAACCTGTCTAAATTTCCAGCAACATCATATTTAGGGTTAAATACCCATTTACATCCCACAACTTTCTTTCCTTTTGGAAGTTCTACCATCTCCCATGTGCCATTCTTTTCCAATGCATTCATTTCCTCAAGTACAGCGTTTTTCCATTCTGGAATGCTCAGTGCTTCATGCACATCATTAGGAATCTTCACTTTGTCAAGGTTAGTTGCAAATGCATGAAATTGTGAAGACAAGGTATGGTAACTCAAACCTTTGAATAAGATGTTGTGTACACATTTTAGGTTGCTTTTTGAGGGCTATAGGTAAATCTAATTCTTCCACTTCCTCCATCTCAATTACCTCTTCTGCCTCAGATTCTTGGGAGTGATTTTCACTCTCTATGTTCTTAGTCTCAGGAGCCCCTCTTAGTTCAGATTCTGGCTGTACTTTAGGCATAATAGTCTCCCTTTCTCACCATTTCTTCCTCGAGTAAGTGATTGGTGTCTTTTCTAGTGCATTTTCTGCATTTTTATTATGCTTTGAAAGACTTCTCACCTTAGTTTTTGGCCTAGGAGGCTGGATTCTGAGTTTGGTGGGATGATGGACAAGAGATTCAGAATCTGTATTGTATTGAGATTGAGGATTTTCTGGGTTTTTTTTTGGAACATAAAGATTTTTTGGATTTTCTGGAATAACAGGACCTAAAACATCCTCACTGTCCAAATGCTGAAAGTTACTCCCTCTCTCCCCCTGAATTGAAGCATTTGGGTAAAAGGGTTCATGCTCAACAAAGGTAACATCTTGACTTACGTAGAGTTTTTTTAGTATAAGGATCAAAACACTTATACCCTTTTGTGTTGAGGAATAACCAAGGAAGAGACACTTGACAGATTTAGGATCTAATTTTTGAGAATGGTAAGAGTGAACGTAGGTGGTGCAAC